ACTCGTACTACCACCTCCTACCCCGCTGCCACTGAAGCGATACTCCACAACATTCACCCATCGCCTACTATTCACCCGAAGCCACAGCCAATGGACAAGGGTCAGAGCAATAAAAGAAGATCCAGTAACCAGCTAAGGACTCCTAACATCAAAGGTGAGAGCAGTAATAACACGAAGAAAACTTGTGGTACTGGCAGCCAGGACACAACCCTTATCACCCACCGGCACCACCACAACACACGACAGACAACAACAAACATGGCCGCCGCCACAGTCCAAGATAACTCCTTCCCAGTATTTGATGTCAAGAAGATCACCGACCCAGAAATAGCTAAACTTCTTACGATTCAGAACCAAACGATCACCAAACTCAAGAAATGCAGGAACTAAAAGCTAGCAATGCAGATTACCTCAACAAGATCACTGCTCTTGAACATAAACTAGACACTCTGGAGCAACAAAGCAACACCCACACCCAGTCCCTAGACACCATCAACACTCTAAAAGACCAAGTCACCCTACTTACTACCAACATTATAGAGGAAAGATCAAGAGTGGACCAACAACTTGCCAATGTCATAACCAACTTCCAAGACCATAATGACCAACAGCAGTTATCTGACGCTGTTGTAGTTAACAGCAAACATCTCCCACCCACAGTCACCCAAGAGACCTGCATGGAGACCACCCTGCAGCTTATCAAGGACCACCTTCACCTTAACATACGTAGTGATGACCTAAAGGATTACAAACTGATGGGCTACCAAGCGGGTAAAAAAACAGTGCTGTTAAAATTCCAAACTAGCCTACAAAGAAACAAACTACTAAAAACATCTATTTCTATGAAAACTGATGTTTACGTCAATGTGTGCCTTACCAAAACAAGACAAAACCTTTATCGGCTAAGAAAATTACGCTATGCCCAAAAAATCCACCAGTGCTTTGTGAGGGATGGAAAAATCGCAGTTAGGAAACAGCCCACTGGGAAGAGATACTTCATCTCTACAGAACATGACCTTAAAACATTCCTAAGTGAGGCTGGACTAACAGAATCAGAGTAAAGTGCAGATAATACCCACAGTCCACCGTTAGTGTTATATTGTCATAAATTTGTGCCCCCCTAAAATTCTAATACCCCAACTACTTTTGATTGTCATTGTTGTATTCAACGACCATTCTACCTCATAGTCTTAATTTGTTTAATATCTACAGAATCTATCTCCCTTTTTACAACTTACCACATCACTGTTCCATCTTATTTTATTATAAACTAACCATAACTTGTCCTCAATAATTCTACCTCACTTTAAGAAATACTCCTTCTGTTATATAAATGTGGGTAAATATCATTAATTTTAATATACAGTCCACCAATTTATATATTTACCAGAATTCCTGGTGATATATATTTCATTTGTAATTAATAGGTCCAGAGCAACTTGTGGTTATGACAGTTGCAGGTATCGAAGGGGGACATTTTTGCGACCTAGGCGTCCCAAATTCCTGCTTGTCTATGTAACTTTGATAAATAATAATTATCTTTGTTATCATTTACTGATATGTACATTATGAGTTACATTCAGATAAATGCAATTTTCCACTTTTCCACAACTACTATTACTACTACCATCACCACCACTACCACTACTACCATCACCACCACTACCACTACTACCATCACCACCACTACCACTACTACCATCACCACCACTACCACTACTACCATCACCACCACTACCACTACTTCCACCAACACCACTACCACTACTACCATCACCACCACTACCACTACTACCATCACCACCACTACCACTACTACCATCACCACCACTACCACTGCTACCATCACCACCACTACCACTACTACCATCACCTCCACTACCACTACTACCATCACCACCACTACTACTATCTCCACTACCAATACTACTACCACTAACACTACTACTACTGCTACTACTACCACACAATGCCTAATTGCTGCTTAATTTCTTCCTAGTAATTACTGAGGAACCAAGCGCTACTAATTTAAGTTCCCGAAGTGTGTTTTAGGGAACTAAGACGGTGGACATTGATGGAGGGACGATATTAGTGACCCATTATTTCTAGAGTCCCACACGTCTCCTAGGTACATCAATATCAGTGATAATAATCTGCACATAAATGGTACACAATACCGACAAGACGAAGTATTAGACACATGTCTAACATCTGGGTGTCTTTATTTGTTGACGTTTTGCCATCCAGTGGTTTTATTAATACAATATAATAATAATAATATCTGTATTTACTACCAGTACATATACAAGGTATACAGACCATAGCTGACATCAGTGACATACTACTATATGCTGAGTATTTCCCGCAAATTAGGTCCTTATCCCAGGATGCGACCCACACCAGTCGACTAACACCCAGGTACCCATTTTACTGATGGGTGAACATAGACAACAGGTATAAAGAAACACGCCCAATGTTTCTACCCTGGCTGGGAATCGAACGCAGACCCTCGCCGTGTGAAGCGAGAGTTTTAGCCACTAAGTGATCAAGTCACTGGATGGCAAAACGTCAACAAATAAAGACACCCAGATGTTAGACAAGTGTCTATTTCAAGTATAATCTCTGTTAGAAGTTCTAGAGTTCTTCACACTTATGGGAAAATTCTTACAAATAATTTCTCACCTGGTCGAGGGGGCGCTGACCCCCGAAACTCTCTCCAGGTAAACTCCAGGTATATTAATCATCTGAATATTGGTGGATATTACACAATTATTTAACAATGATAATAAAGTACAAAATGAAAAGACGTATCAGGAAGAAAAACATTTGGATATTTTATTAAAAATGTCAGGATGGTGTGACCTCAGGTCACTCCAGGTCACATGACACAAATATTCTCAATAATATGACCAATTTTACAAATTATTATCATAATCATTGTTCATTTTAACATTATTGTAAATTTTTAAATAAATGTAAATTTAAACTATTATTGCAAATTTAAATGTTATTAATAATTATAACTTTTTCGTGTTTAAAAAATTGTAAATTTTAACATAAACATAATTTTAACATAAAAATAACATTTCAACATTAATGAACATTTTAACATTAATGAACATTTTAACATTAATGAACATTTTAACATTAATGAACATTTCAACATTAATGAACATTTCAACATTAATGAACATTTTAACATTAATGAACATTTCAACATTAATGAACATTTTAACATTAATGAACATTTCAACATTAATGAACATTTCAACATTAATGAACATTTTAACATTAATGAACATTTTAACATTAATGAACATTTCAACATTAATGAACATTTCAACATTAATGAACATTTTAACATTAATGAACATTTCAACATTAATGAACATTTTAACATTAATGAACATTTCAACATTAATGAACATTTCAACATTAATGAACATTTTAACATTAATGAACATTTTAACATTAATGAACATTTTAACATTAATGAACATTTCAACATTAATGAACATTTTAACATTAATGAACATTTCAACATTAATGAACATTTCAACATTAATGAACATTTCAACATTAATGAACATTTCAACATTAATGAACATTTTAACATTAATGAACATTTTAACATTAATGAACATTTTAACATTAATGAACATTTTAACATTAATGAACATTTTAACATTAATGAACATTTTAACATTAATGAACATTTTAACATTAATGAACATTTCAACATTAATGAACATTTTAACATTAATGAACATTTCAACATTAATGAACATTTTAACATTAATGAACATTTCAACATTAATGAACATTTTAACATTAATGAACATTTTAACATTAATGAACATTTTAACATTAATGAACATTTTAACATTAATGAACATTTTAACATTAATGAACATTTCAACATTAATGAACATTTTAACATTAATGAACATTTCAACATTAATGAACATTTTAACATTAATGAACATTTCAACATTAATGAACATTTTAACATTAATGAACATTTCAACATTAATGAACATTTCAACATTAATGAACATTTCAACATTAATGAACATTTCAACATTAATGAACATTTCAACATTAATGAACATTTCAACATTAATGAACATTTCAACAGTGTTCATATAAACATTACTAACTTTGTACATACAAACATTATTGAATTTTTTTAAATAATTTTAAATTAGAATTATTAAGGAAAGTTATCTCTTTATCTGCTTAATATACATTAAAAGATATTTACTGTACAACACTAGTCAACTATCATACTTCACACAGCGTTTGTACGGAGTTAGGTTAGGTTAAGTTAAGTTAGGTTAGGTTAGGTTAGGTTAGGTTAGGTTAGGTTAAGTTAAGTTAGGTTAGGTTGCGTTAGGTTAAGTTAGGTTAGGTTATATTAGGTTACGTTAAGTTAGGTTAGGTTAGGTTAGGTTAGGTTAGGTTAGGTTAGGTTAGGTTAAGTTAGGTTAGGTTAGGTTAGGTTAGGTTAGGTTAGGTTAGGTTAGGTTAAGTTAAGTTAGGTTAGGTTAAGTTAAGTTAGGTTAGGTTAGGTTAAGTTAAGTTAGGTTAGGTTAGGTTAAGTTAAGTTAGGTTAGGTTAGGTTAAGTTAAGTTAGGTTAGGTTAGGTTAAGTTAAGTTAGGTTAGGTTAGGTTAAGTTAAGTTAGGTTAGGTTAAGTTAAGTTAGGTTAGGTTAGGTTAAGTTAGGTTAGGTTGCGTTACGTGAAGTTAGGTTAGGTTATATTAGGTTACGTTAAGTTAGGTTACGTTAGGTTAGGTTATATTAGGTTACGTTAAGTTAGGTTAGATTAGGTTAGGTTACAATTGGAAAAAAACTGTTAATATAACATAAAATATGCTAATATGGTCTGGCTCACCAACAATAAATGGCAGCCATTTTACACTGCTCGCATAATTATGTCAGATTTTAAGTGTTCAGTGCACCATCAACAGCCATTTGACTGTTTTTACAACAGTGTCATGTTGACTGTGGTCATGTTGACTGTGGTCATGTTGACTGTGGTCATGTTGACTGTGGTCATGTTGACTGTGGTCATGTTGACTGTGGTCATGTTGACTGTGGTCATGTTGACTGTGGTCATGTTGACTGTGGTCATGTTGACTGTGGTCATGTTGACTGTGGTCATGTTGACTGTGGTCATGTTGACTGTGGTCATGTTGACTGGTCAACATGACTGGCTGACGTATGACTCCTCTATCCACCTTTTATCTTACCCAGAAAGCGAAGCCAAGAGAGAAAATAAGCAGATGTGTTACGTGGCAGGCAGCTGCAGCATCAACTGTGTCATCACAGCTGCAAGAGGCAGCTGCAGCATCAACTGTGTCATCACAGCTGCAAGAGGCAGCTGCAGCATCAACTGTGTCATCACAGCTGCAAGAGGCAGCTGCAGCATCAACAGTGTCATCACAGCTGCAAGAGGCAGCTGCAGCATCAACTGTGTCATCACAGCTGCAAGAGGCAGCTGCAGCATCAACAGTGTCATCACAGCTGCAAGAGGCAGCTGCAGCATCAACAGTGTCATCACAGCTGCAAGAGGCAGCTGCAGCATCAACTGTGTCATCACAGCTGCAAGAGGCAGCTGCAGCATCAACAGTGTCATCACAGCTGCAAGAGGCAGCTGCAGCATCAACAGTGTCATCACAGCTGCAAGAGGCAGCTGCAGCATCAACAGTGTCATCACAGCTGCAAGAGGCAGCTGCAGCATCAACAGTGTCATCACAGCTGCAAGAGGCAGCTGCAGCATCAACTGTGTCATCACAGCTGCAAGAGGCAGCTGCAGCATCAACAGTGTCATCACAGCTGCAAGAGGCAGCTGCAGCATCAACAGTGTCATCACAGCTGCAAGAGGCAGCTGCAGCATCAACTGTGTCATCACAGCTGCAAGAGGCAGCTGCAGCATCAACAGTGTCATCACAGCTGCAAGAGGCAGCTGCAGCATCAACTGTGTCATCACAGCTGCACGAACAATGCTGTTGCTGCGCTGGTATGGCCGCATCTTTCCCTATGAACCACCAGACAAACTGTCAGTATTATTATCTCTCGGGTTTATTTAAGGAAAGTTATAACATTAAATGAGAGATTATAGAATCATTTACTGTTTTATCAACATGTTAATTATTTTAATAATTATTGCTACCAAGTATCTTATTTCCTCAAAGCTACTAACCGTCTTATATCCTTATTACTACCAGCTGCTACCGTTAATTAATAATAATAATAATAATAATAATAATAATAATAATAATAATAATAATAATCATAATCATAATATCTTTATTTCTACAAGTACATGTACAAGGTATACAGACCATAGCTGACATCAATGACATACTACTATATAGAAAGCCGCTTGTTATGCAGAGCATTTCGGGCAAATTACGTCAGTTTTGTCCCAGGATGCGACGCACACCAGTCGGCTAACACCCAGGTACCCATTTTATACTGATGGGTGAACATGGACAACCAGAGTAAGGAAACAAGCCCAATGTTTTCACCCTTCCGGGAATCGAACCCTGCCCCCTCAGCGTGTGAAGCGGAAGCTTTGCCTACCAGGCCACGAGCCACCTTAATTAACTACTACCACTGCTGCTGCTATTTTAACTACTATTACTACTATCAGTGCTATTGCTAATTCAACTACTACTACTACTACTACTACTACCACTGCTACTGCTAATTCAACTACTACTACTACTACTACTACTACTACTACCACTGCTACTGCTAATTCAACTACTACTACTGTTACTACCGCCATCCACTTCTTCCACCTCTCTCGTGTCTTGTCTTCAGACTGTGTTTACTTTTGTTCACTCAGCAGTGACTTGACAATAGCCCAGGATAGACCAAAACATTGTATCAAGTCAGGTGTCCCGTGTTCCAGCCTCTGGGTTCACTTATCATTCCCCAGCTACCACACACACGCCTCTGTGCCAGCTTGATTAATAACTTACCAAATTAGGACATACAAAGACGAAAAACATAGCTAAACTTCCTTTAGGAAAAATATAGAACTGAAAATGTTAGTATTAATAAGAACAACAATAACAATAATAATAATAATAATAATAATAATAATAATAATAATAATAATAATAATAATTATTATTATTATTATTATTATTATTATAATAATGAGAAGGATATATTAATTTCCTGAACATTTTAATCTGATCTGAAGAGGAATTTTCCATTAATAACATGGAAACCAATATTCTAAATTATTAATAATGTAATGTTAGAAACTGACACAAACTTTGCATCACAAAGATAACGGGGTACCTGTACCTCCTCCCATGGCAGACTTAGGTCCGACTAAACCTTTACAAAAATTCAATTTATGTCAAAGGCCCTAAAATCTGGAACACCCTACCTGAGAACTCTAGAACTGCAGACACATTCATCACCTTCAAAACTACCATTAGAAAACATCTTATCTCCCTGATACACCCTGTCAACTAATTACACGAATACCACCTGGTGGTTCACACTTACACTCACTCACCTATTTGACCATAAACAGAAATATTAATCTCAATCTCAAAATAATGAATCCTATGACACTCCAATACTGAAACTATGTACTGTGCCAAAACAAAAGCATTCACATTGCTAAACTCACAAACTAGTATTTAGTCACTTAGCCATGATACCAACTTACCTCATAATTTGTAATATTTTAAAATATATAATTAAACTAAGTCTGCCCGAAATGCCTAGCCATGCTAAGCGTTCTAGTGGTACACTCTGTAATCATTATTTAACTACATGTAAACCACACAACAACCAAATTCTGTAAATTCAACATTGTAATCTTTATAGAGAATAAACTTTGAAATTTGAATGGCAGACTTAGGTCTCCAGACACTCCCCAGATAGGGAGCTAAGGCCGGGTCACCACTATTGGAAAAGACCCGGGCCGGGAGAATACCGGCGAATAAAAAAAAAAAAAACGAAAAACTTTGCATGAAACTAAATTGAAGTTTTCTTTCAGACAAAGTTATCAGTGTTTTAATTTATAAACCGTCCAGAAAAGTTACTCCCAAGGTATGAGACTGGAAGGAATGCCACACAGTGGTGGCAACTTGACGAGACGATAACACATCGGAGGACGGGCGGGGCTAGAACACAAGGAGTATTTTAACTTCAAGGACACTACACTAACCACTCTAATATTTGTTTGCAATCGTGTTACTACGATGTCGTGAATGAAGAATGACAATTTAAGTCTTTCTTTAAGTAATATTAAAAAGCTTGGAAAGTTTGAAGCTGATCAGAAGAGGTGTTCTCAACATATCTGGTAGTAACACTGAACGAGGATAAAGGGACAATTACCAGGGTTATTGTCTTGTGGAAGTTCTCTAACTGGACATACAATATGATATTATTTAATTTCTATGGAGATAATGTATTACCCAGTCTTCTTCAATATTTCGAAACTAGTTTACTGTTACTAGGAAAAAAGCTCATGCAGGTACTGGTATATGCAGGAGCCCATTAAACTGACTACTCCAGGACTTGTTTTCTGCATCATAACGAAACCTCTTCAGATCTGCACTAAACAATTAACACTCGGGTATCCTACTTGCAAGACACTTGTGTTTGTTGCTGGACTTTGTACGTGTCAAGTTATCAGTTAGGTTTTTCAATGGTGTAGCATTATTTTCCATAAGAACATAAAGATGGAACACTGCAGCAGGCCTAATGGCCCATGCGAGGCAGGTCCAAATCTTCTACCGGCTTAAGCCAATGTCTCAAACTAGTCAGGTCAGGCCACATTCACTTAAGGAAGGAGCACGGCATCTGACCTTGTAGTACTAGCTAGTCAGGTCCAACTCACACACACCTACACCAACTCATGTATTTATCCAACCTATTTTTTAAACTACGCAACGTCTTAGCTTCTTTGACGGTACTCGGGAGTTTGTTCCACTCATCCACAACTCTATTACCAAACTAGTGCTTTCTTATATCCTTCCTGAATCTGAATTTTTCCAATTTACAATCATTGCTGCGAGTCCTGTCTTTGGCTACATATTATTAGCACACTATTTACATTCCCTTTATTTATTCCTGTTTTTCATTTATACACCTAAATCATATCCCCCCCAAATTCTATGCATTTTTAGAGAGTGCAGATTCAGGGCCCTCAGTCTATCCTCATAGGGAAGATTTCTAATACATGGGATCAACTTTGTCATCCTCCTCTGTACGTTTTCCAGTGAATTTATATCCATTCTGTAATATGGTGACCAGTACTGTGCAGCATAATCTAAATGAGGCCTAACCAATACCCCTGCCAAGCTACCCAAGACTCTATAACTCCACCCGGTAGATCATCAGATGCAGCATTCTCCACCTGACCTAAACATTCTGAACCTGACTATAAATACTCCCGTACCTTCCACCCCAGGTAGATCTGTTTGTGACTTGAAAAAGCCCACTGTGTGGGCGAAACGTTGTCAATAAAGGATCACATTAAACTGTATGTGTTTATGTTTCCATATATAGAGCTGATGAACAACCTGAGAACTTCTGTTATTTATGCTTCTTGATATGAAGCCAAGGATTCTGTTAGCTTTATTACGAACACTAATGCACTGTTGTCTTGGTTTTAGATTACTGCTAACCAGAACTCCCAAATCCTTTTCTCAATCAGTAATATTAAGATCTACATTATTTAGTTTATATGTGGAATGGTTGTTTTCCTTTCCAATGTTTAGAACTTTGCATTTGTCTATATTAAACTGCATCTGACACTTTTAAGACCACTGCATCAGTCTATTCAAATCTTCCTGGAGTGCTCTAATGCCCTCGTCAGAATGAATTCGTCGGCCTTTTTGTATCATCGGCAAACTTGCTTATATCACTATTTATTCTCTCATCTATGTCGTTTATGTAGATTGTGAACAACAAGGGGCCCAACAGTGACCCCTGCGGAACACCACTCATGACGTGCCCCCGCTCTGATTTCTCCTCAGTAATGCAAACTCTCTTCTGCCTATCTATCAATCATGCCTCTACCCAGGAAAAAATTTCTTCTCCTATGCCGTGTGCCTTAAGTTTCCTTAATAGCCTCTGATGTGGAACTCTATCGAAAGCCTTACTGAAGTCCATATACACAATATCATAATCAATACCATGATCTACCTCCTCAAATACCTTAGTGAAAAAAAGTTAGTAAATTCATAAGACAGGAACGCCCCTTTGTAAAACCGTGCTGAGATTCATTAATCAGCTTCTGCCTTTCAAGATGGCTACGAATTGCCCGGCAATTATTGATTCCATAAATTTTCCCACTATGGAGGTTAGGCTTATTGGTCTATAGTTCAAAGCTAAGGACCTGTCACCTGCTTTGAAAATAGGTATCACGTTTGCCATTTTCCACTTATCTGGCACTATGCCAGTTTGTAATGATATGTTTAAAAGATTAGCCAATGGTTTGCTAAGCTCCTCTTTGCAGTCCTTGCAAACAGTTCATCAGGGCCTGGGGATTTTTTAGATTTTAATTTACCTATTTCCCTAAGGACCATGTCGCATCAACACTAGTGAGTAAACTACCGGCTGCATCAAATACCTTTCACATAGACTCTGATAAGTTTAAAACATACTATACCAATAAAGGGGTAATCCCAAACAGTTGTCAACTAGTAAGTGACTTCGTGCAAAAAGAACTAAGCAGGTTAAACCCATTGTAGATGAATGGTTCAAAGAACCGACATGTTGTTAAATTAGACACATGTGCAACTCTTGGTTATCTTTATTGAGGAAACGTTTCGCCACACAGTGGCTTCATCAGTCCATACAAAGGATAAACTTGAAGAACAGGAGGAGAATGAGGTAATTAGTCCCTCAGCCTTGAGTCGACGTGGTCAGTCCATCAATCTTGAATAGAATACGGCATAGGAGCGGAGAAGCAGCTTATAAACCGTATGGCAGGAGAGGTTTATAAGCTGCCTCTCCGCTCATATGCCGTATTCTATTGAAGATTGATGGACTGAC